TTGTAAAAAAAACTTTTTTCCCTTAAAAAGTCAGCTTTTACTGTCGTGTACTGAGATATTACATTAGCAAAATTAATTTACATTTTGATTGATTACGTGTCTGAAAATAACAGGTTTATTGTTTTTGTCTTTTCTAGTTCGATGCACATCTGGATATCCAAATGTAGATGAAATAATATAAATTGTCCTTTCCCTTGCTATGGTGAGTTCCTATTTTATTAGTTTCAAACACAAAAATATAAATTTTATTTGTAAACAAAACTGTTTCACTGCATCACAACTCCTCAATGCGAAACATATCCGAATGCTTTAAAAATTGAAAACCAACTGATTTGGTGTCAGTAACAGTTTCTTTTCTGAACTATCTTCATTCGACAAAATTAGCATTTAAATTTTGATTGATTTTTATGAATGTAAACAAATGCCAATCAGCTTATTGGTTTTCCAATTCATTTTACTGAAACGTTTTGCATTAACGGAGGTGGCTTTTGTTTATATATATATATATATATATATATATATATATATATATATATATATATATTAGGGCATTACGTGTGTCGTAAGTCCATCTGTTTTTCGATCTCGACGAATCATAAACAACCTGAAGTAACAAGATTTACACGCATGAAAAACTAAATCATTTAAAGTTAAATTTCAATATTTAACATATGAAAGTTTAAAAAAACAATTCTTTATTAAAATTCAATTATCTAATTCAACCGTAATTAGAACTTTAGCTGGGCAACGTTTGGCTGTGTTTTTTTTCTTTCTTTTTCTTTACAAGTGTATTGCGAAAATATTACATAAAACTGCTTCCCTAATGTCTTTTAAGAGTGACTTTATGGGGATCATAAAGAATTTTTGATTTAAAAAAAAAAAAAAATTGTGCGTAAAATAAATGCAAACAACCTACAAAATCGGTTAATTATAAGAGGAAAGATTATGTCGAATTAAGGTGTTTTTAAAGAAGTTAAATTGAGAATTTCTGAATTCTCATAACTTTTACGTACATTTTGCTGAACCAAGAATGGCGGCTGCAAGTCTAGTCCGCACACACAGACCTGCATCCATATATATATATATATATATATAATATATAATCGACTCTCCTCGTCGCGTTCGACGTATTCAGGCCGATAAGTCTTTTCTCCCTTTCGACATCCCTGACACCGGCACATAGATTTGATTATAGTGGTGAAGGCCTCGTGCAGGAACAGCCACACTTTTTATACGATATAGATATATATAATATATATTCCCCAAACGACCCTCCGCAGGTTTATATTCAGAGTTGTCCTTCTCCTAAACCAGTTGCCATCCAAAACTATTTCCCAGTCTGTCCTCAATTTTACCCATAGCTGGAGGGAGATGAAGAGGATTCATACCTTTCCCAATTGGTATTAAACTGAAGTGAATGTAATGGATTCGACCAATTCGAGGAGGCACGTCAAGTAATGGAGATTTGGATCGAGGAATCGCATTCTTCGAGTTTGAATATATATATAATATAATATATATATATATATATATATCATCCGCAATAGACTGTTTTGCTGTATCATTTTATCAGTGTAACTTGACGTCCGATTGCTATCGAGGTAAATATTTTATTATTTTTATATATATATATATATATATATATATATATATATATATATATATATATATATATATATATATATAGCGCAGTGTACGTGTGTCCGTCCTTTTTCGTTCATTTTCTGATCTCGACGAATCATAAACAACCTGAAGTACCATGAGTTATATGCGTTAAAAACTGTTCATTTATAATTAAATTTAAATATTTAACTGAGTGAAAGTTTAAAAAGAAAAAAAATTCTTTATTAAAGATTTTAAATTGCAATTGATATTATCTAATTCAACCGTAATTAAAACTTAAGCTGGACACGGTACGTTGCTCATGTGTTTTTTTTTTTTTTTTTTTTTTTTTTTTACTGTGATGTATTCGAAATATTATATAGTTCTGGTTCCCAAATGTCTTTTTAAGAGTGAATTTTTGTGAAGGATCATAAAGAATGGTGATTTTAAAAGAAAATAAAAATTGCGCGTAAAATATATTTAAACAAACTACAGAAATCGGTTGCGTATAAGAAGAAAGATTATGTCGAATTAAAGTGTTGAATAAAGAAGAAGTAAATTGAATATTTCTAAATTCTTATAACTTTTATTTACATTGGACTCTGAACAAAGAATGGCGGCTTCTAGTCTAGTATACACACACACACACACACACACATGTGTGTGTGAAAGTTAACACTGGTCAGCACCGAGAAGCGACATCTTAATTTATACTTGATCCAAATCTTCAGACCATAAAGTCATGTGTCCACGTTTATATTCACAGGCGCTCTATCCCTGATACTGAGCACTTTTAATTTAAATACCATACCGTAAAACTATATTTTATCATTCATATATATATATATATATATATATATATATATATATATATATATATATATATATATATATATATTATATATTTATATATATATATATTCATCCATAAAATTTCTTTAAAAAATCTGTTCGAAAAGTTTATCTGTTTATTTTTTTTATTATGGTGACTATTGATGCAAAGATGATGTACGTCTTCCAATTTTCGAATAAGGTGATGTGCATTGGGATCGAAATTGTGTCTAATCTGTCTAAATGTGAACTTCGAACAATTTACCCACATTTTCGATCCCAAACACAACACTTTATTCGAAAATTACAAAAATAATAACAAATTAAACAGAAAATCTTAGTCGTTTCATATTAATCAAATTTGTTTGTATATATTTACACTATTTACATTGTTCGGGCTGTTGTCCTCGTCTTTGTTGCCATGTTCACACCATTTTGGCCGTTGTACGCTCAGGCCTTCTTCAAGTGATTTATTTTATCCACCGGGGTAGATTGTTCTAGTTCCACATGACAAGCCTCTTCCGCATAACTCAGTATAAGTTATCCCCCTTTAACTCAAATCTCCATGTTTTTGTCCACATCTGCTGTAACCAGATAACAACAGTTTGGGTGAAGTCACTAGATTCAATCAACGCTATATTATCCAGTGGGCTATTCGTCCTTAAAGGGAGATAACTGATACAGAGTCATCCGGAAATGCATGATTCATGGAACTAGAACAATCTACCGCGGCGGACGAAATAAAGTGTTCAGATTGTAATTCCAATGGTCCAAATACAAAAGTATATGATATAGTTATGTATATTGTCTTTTTTCCAGAGCCTTCATGTCTATACTGTAAAGAAGATTGCCAGACTGATGCTAATTGCCCAGCGGGTAAGTTTAGAAATGAAACACTCGAAATTCTAAATCCCTTTTCATTAAGTAAATGTCTACCTAAAATTCAGTTACATAAAATACATTAAAAAAATAATATATCTTCAATTTATGACTGTGAGAACGACATTTTTTTTCTATTGGGCCAAGTCAGTGTTCGAATCTAAGCAAAAGCTAGGACTTAGAATGCTGACCTACTAACAAATAAGCCCTACCAATGAAACATAATCTTCCTCCCGATGTAACACAATCTTCTTTTGTTCCTGCAACCTTAGACTCTTTTCCAGTCCTCTTTGTTTGCTGCTTTCCATTCACAAAACCCCATCAAGTTTACTCGCTGTTTCCCCTGCCTTCAGTATGGTCTGGGAACTGTTAGATTTTCTGAGTCTCCTTTCATTATTATGAATTGAAAATATGGATTAAATCTTAAAAAATCATTAAATAACGAACAAGTAGGAAAATATAAATTTGATATGTTTGGCTGTTTATTTAATCCATCGAAAATTTATCCTTGTGCATTTTTCAGATGAAGTTTTGAAATAGCAAATGAAATTTATAAGGTCTTTTGTACTTATTCCATATTTCCTCATTATATGTCAGAATAGCCTCTCTTTCTCACTCACTCGCTCTCTTTCTCCTCATTTTCTCTCTCTTTCTCTCCCTTTCTCACTTTATCCCTCTGTCTGGTTGTTAACAGTATTATATTGTTGATCCTATTCCTCTTAAAAATCTCTCTGATATCTGTCACATTTTCAGCCATCTGTTACTATCCTTCTCGTCAGGTCAGTGCACCACCGCCTCATTCTCTCCTTTTTTCCTTTCGATATTTCCAGGAAGTGTCAAATTTAAGAAACCCTCCTTCCTCATTATTTTCTCAGAAATGACATTTCTCTCCTTCTCCTGCCAATCATAATTATACTTTTTAATTCTATTTTCTTCAACATTTCCTTATTGATTACATGCTCTGTCCATGGTATTCTCAACATATTTCTGTATTGTTGACGTATCAACTTATTTGGATTGCATTCCATTTGAAAATGACTAATTTATATTATTCTTTCTTTACAGTGGATGAAGAGCTTGATCCTGCTTCACTGAAACCACCTTAAACATTTCGACAAGATAGAATGTTATATTTGATATACCATATTGTTGCAATATTTATTATTTACAGAAATAAATTATTCAAAAGGGTTTTTGTTTTTGATTGTGTTTTTTGGTCTTGATATTTACCTGATAACAGTAAAAGTTGATCCGCAATTGTTTTTAGTGTCGGTAAATCCTTTTATCTAACCGATTCTTAAAGGTAACATTTTTAAGTAAGGTCAAGCGAAAATATACCAGTTCCATCGGCATATTAACTATTCTATTTAATGAAGATGGACAGATATCGGCCTCGTTGAAGGTTTTTGTTGATTGATTTATTTCCTACGGCTTATCACACTTTTTAGGTTATTTAAAGCCAGAAAATATGTTTAGATTGTAATAAAGTTTTTTTTTTAGATAATAATGGTTTAATGAGACAAGTTTTACTAATTAACCCATATATGGTAGGGAAGAGGTCTATTCTTACCTTTCCCGCCCAAAGGTATTTACACGTAAGTGAATATAACGAATCAATGGAACTGGAACTCGGATCTCCGATTAGCAATTATAAGTCATTATCCATTGCCCCATACGCACATTCAAACTTACAGCACCTGGTATTCACACGCGGTTACCCATCTGGGTACTGACCAGGCTCAACGTTGCTTAACTTCAATGATCGTACGGGAACCAATGTTTCAATGTGATATGGCCCTAAGCCGGAAGCTCTTTGACAGCACTCTTAGCCGTATTTGAGTTACCTCTTTTACCTCATCATCGCTGGAGAACTTCTCAACCCTGGGTGCTATCAGTGTTGTGCTACTCCAGAAGTTTTGGGCTAACAACTACCATCTGCCGATTCTGTAACAAACCTTGTTTTGACTAGGGGTGGGCGATCGTTCGCAAAGCCTTCAGTATATTTTTTCAGCCTCCATCGTTCAAAGGGAGATCCGAGTTTAACTACTGGCAGCAAATATCTCTTTGAGACCATTATCCATAGATAGATAGATAGATAGATAGATAGATAGATAGATCATACTATTTTTACACACTGTTAATGACTGCTTTTGGCGAGAAGGGGGATAAACAGACTGCGATGGATAGACAGAAAGAATAATAATCTTAGGCGGAGAGAAGGGGGAGCAATCTTTGATAGATAGATAGATAGATAGATAGATAGATAGATAGATAGATAGATAGATATGATATGATATGATACGGTATGGTATTATATATATTATTTGGATGATATTTTATTTTGGGAACAAAATTGTTGTATAGCAATATTCCGTTGTCCGATTCTTCATCTTTGAGAGCCTCTTTTAGAAACTAAGAAGAAAAACATCTTTTCTGCGTCTAAACAGAAAGACATACACGCAACTCTCTCTACCATTGAGCAGACAGTTTATGCCATATAATAATAATAATATGATAATCTGTTCAGCACAGCTGACAATATATAATTATTTTAAGAAACTTTTAACTTTAAAAACCTTGGTCATAATTCTTGAAATTCGAATGACTTATGAGTGATGTTGTTATATTTAAAGTGTCGTCAACCAATTTGTTTTATTCTTCTTTTAAGATAGAAACAAAACATCTGTTCTCATTTTTTGCTCTCGACGGCAATTGTCTCTTTTCATCCATCGTAATACAGACAACCAATAAAGTAAGTCAGGTTTCAACTTGCTTTTTTATTTCTTGCTTTTAAGATCGATTTCTTTATTTTCTTTCTCGGTTTTTACGAACACCGAATCAGAATCTTACCCATAAACCTGAACAGTTAAATCAAATCCATTTAAACCTTGCCAGTACGCTTGAACTTTACAGAAAGGGTGCAGAGGGTGCTACGGCCCGGGGCGTCCATATCGGGGTAGAGGGCATCCAGTCAAAGAGTGACATAAAAATTTAGTTTATATTTCATTTGAATTTTACACATTCAAAATGTCTTCCTTTCTCTCACTTCTCAGTACTAGGCCTTATAGGACCTCCTTACTTAAGTCTTGTGGGTATACAATCAAGGAGTTGTCTCCAGGCATCACAAAACCTATGCACTTCACTGCTTCAGTTAAGAAGTAAAAAAAATGGAGAGACAACACTTTAGATCTACATACTCTTTGATGGTCTCAAATGAATCACAACTGAAACTAGATTTTCACACTCCTGCTAAAGACGAACTTATACGTCTTTATAAATCTCACATTGCCTGCTGTTGACGTATATATACATTCTCAAAAGTGATTGTTTTTATAAACTGTGTTTGTTATGTAAAATAATTTAGCGTTTAGTGCTATTTCTAAACCAGCGTAGATATATAGTAACATACAATACAACCTGTTTTGTGAAATATTTTTGTTATATTGTGTGTGATGTTTGCTGTTTGCCTTAGTCTGTACTGCAGAGTAATCTGATCGAAACTTAAATGGCGCCACGCATGAGAAATCATATTCAGCATCTTTATAATTATTTATTTCTACTAAATGCTAATTTCCTACTTTTCCCCAAAAGGGGCCAGTACAGCCAGGAAACAGTGCTATAACAATGCAGAAGTTTTTATTCAGTTACCGCCGCTGTGATAATTGTGGTTCATAGTGACATTCAAGGCAACATAACGCAATTGCCGGTTCTTTTTGCACAGGGAATGTTGAAGTTATATTGTCCCTACTCTCAAAGCTGGGTTTATTTTCTGAAATTGAATTTTTCTAGCCTTTGCCTAAAGAGACAGGACCTACAAGACAGCAGGTGGTTTGAATTCAGAGTTTTCTTCTATACTGGTTGCCACCCAAGGTGATAGGACTCTGTTCTGCTATTTTACCCATAACTGGGGAGAAAAGATGAATTCATACCTTTCCCAAGGGTAGTAGCACGTAAGTAAATGTAATGAATCCGATTGGAATTTAAACTGGACTTTCCAGTTCTTCACTCAAAACCGCAAAGCATTAGTCCCCGTGTCGCTTTGTGTATATATACTATATTAAAATGAATATAAATGTGATATCACTTCTCGATGTTTATTTAAACAATGGACATGGCATTCAGAGAAATTCTGTTTTATTGTGCTAAGTTTCAATTTTTGCCCCAAACTGGACAGCAAAGCCAGGCAACAATGCTATAGGAATGCAACAATGAAAATGATATTCAAACCTCGGTAAAAACAAGGCATTGAAATGTTAATTTCAAATCATTAAGAGAAGCCTTTACTGTCATCCATGGTTTGGTAACTTTTGTTTATTCTGCAGTTTAACAAGCGTGAAGGTAAAGCAATGATTATTGGCACGGAAATTGAAATCAGTGAAACGAATTCATGTTTCCTCCTCATCTGTTGCTTTCACGTCGTCCTCAAGCCCTTCCAGAAAAGTACGTTTCCTCCTGGTCCACTTCTCACTCAAGCCCTTCCAGAAAGACACATTTCATCCTAGTCCATTTCTCACTCAAGCCTTGCCAGAAAAACACGTTTCCTCCTGGTCCACTTCTCACTCAAGCCCTTCCAGAAAGACACATTTCATCCTAGTCCATTTCTCACTCAAGCCTTCCCAGAAAAGCACGTTTCCTTCTGGTCCACTTCTCACTCAAGCCCTTCCAGAAAGACACATTTCATCCTAGTCCATTTCTCACTCAAGCCTTCCCAGAAAAGCACGTTTCCTTCTGGTCCACTTCTCACTCAAGCCCTTCCAGAAAAACACGTTTTCTTCTAGGCCACTTCTCACTCAAGCCCTTCCAGAAAGACACATTTCATCCTAGTCCACTTCTCACCAAGCCTTCCCAGAAAAGCACGTTTCCTTCTGGTCCACTTCTCCTCAAGCCCTTCCAGGAAGGCACATTTCATCCTGGTCCACTTCTCCTCAAGCCTTCCCAGAAAAGCACGTTTCCTTCTGGTCCACTTCTCACTCAAGCCCTTCCAGAAAAGCACGTTTTCTTCTAGGCCTCTTCTCACTTCAGCCCTTCCAGAAAGACACATTTCATCCTAGTCCACTTCTCACTCAAGCCTTCCCAGAAAAGCACGTTTCCTTCTGGTCCACTTCTCCTCAAGCCCTTCCAGAAAAACACGTTTTCTTCTAGGCCACTTCTCCTCAAGCCCTTCCAGAAAGACACATTTCATCCTAGTCCACTTCTCACTCAAGCCTTCCCAGAAAAGCACGTTTCCTTCTGGTCCACTTCTCACTCAAGCCCTTCCAGGAAGGAACATTTCATCCTGGTCCACTTCTCACTCAAGCCTTCCCAGAAAAGCACGTTTCCTTCTGGTCCACTTCTCACTCAAGCCCTTCCAGAAAAACACGTTTTCTTCTAGGCCACTTCTCACTCAAGCCCTTCCAGAAAGACACATTTCATCCTAGTCCACTTCTCACTCAAGCCTTTCCAGAAAAGCACGTTTCCTCCTAGTTCGCATCTCATTCAAGCCCTTCCAAAAACAATGCACGCTTCCTTCTCGTCCATTCCTACTTAAGCCCTCCCAGAAAGGCACGTTTCCTCCTAGTCAAGTTTTCAATCAATCCCTTGCAGAAAAAAAAAACTTCCGTCTAGTCCACTTCTCACTCAAACTATTCCAAAAAGGACATGCACGTTTCCTCTTTGTTCACTTTTCACTCAAGCCGTTGAAGAATGACATGAATTTACTTTTTTTCCCTCCGCCTATGGGTTAAATAGCAGTGTGTAACATTTTAAAACATGTTTTGAATCACACCAAGCATATCAGTTTAGAAGGCATCCATTTTGCATAAGGGAATAATTTTGATTCTGGCGTCCAAAAATTTCTGATGATTTTCATCTTCATATGTAATCCTAAAATGTAAGATATTAGCACACTTCGACGATATTCACCGTGATCTCTCTTTTTTTTTAGTCACTAATCACAAATAAGGTGAAGACTGTTTTTATTTAATAACTATACAGTCTTGCTTCCTAAAATATGCCATAAAAAATCTATTAAATTATTTAATGGTATCATTTTTCAAAGCCATGTAAAGGAAAATAATAATTTAAACAATTTAATCTAGTTATTCTGTTCAAGTTTAGAGTTAAACTTTAACGAATTGACAGTTATGATAAAAAGCAGTCATAAACTTTGTACAACATACCAGTGCGATCTATCTATCTATCTAGCTAATTCTGTTCATTATTTATCTTATCTGTTCATATATATCATATCATTTTATTCAGGATCATTATAGAGATATATTAATACTATTTTCAAAGCATTAATTACTTATACAGGTTTAAACAAACACTATGGTGTGAAGTGAAACTGGATGAGTAATAATATACACTATGGGTCAAATGTTTGTGGCCACTCTCTGAATTTACTAATTAGTAAATTTCATACCTTCTTTGCTTTAATTAACTTCTACAAAGCTAAGATGCTGAAACTATTTAACCTATTAGTACATAGTGTCCAATTTTTTAGAGACCGTGTAAAATTTTAAATCTATTATCTCTAAGATTACCCCCAAACCAGCAAGCTAGTTACGGTAAAAAGAAATCAATTTTTTATGGAGACTTTATGCGGTAATGAGTTAATTTCCCAATTCGTTATTGAATTGAAAAAAAAAAAGCACTTCAGGAATAGAAAGTCCCCTTGACCTGTAAGTGAGCTAGTAAATTAGTTTTGAAAATAAACGAGGTTGTGCCGAAAAGTTATTGACCCAAAAGTATTGGTCCTGACCTGATGCCTTGCCTTCAGTCACTTTCACACCGCCATAATGTATTTAATTCTATCTATTTCACCTTTTAGGTGATTCTTCGGAATTTAAAAGGTGACTCATTTGCTTCTTTCTGTGCTGTATCTTCACAACATCTCATCCACTGTAAACACTTATTAAGTTTGTTTTTTTTCTATGCTATCTCTCCTAATCCCTGTTCTGACAACCAAATACACAAGCTCGTTAAGTCGGCTATTTGCAGTCTTTTTTGCCTTCAATGTATCATGTGCGTGTCAGATTCGCCAAGCCGTCTTTCTTTATTGTATGCTGTAAAAATTTTACTTGTCTCTTTGTGATTCTTTTTCTCTTTGTTTCCACTTTCCCTAAAACTTCTTCCTCACTCTCATGTTCAGTTCGTAGAACTCTCAGCATCCTTCTGTTGCCTCAAGTAACTTCATCTGTGAAGAGATTGTCCAGCATTCACTGTCATATAGTATACCGTTATTACATAACAGTTCAGTGCTCTTTTCTTTCTTTCTAACGAAAAATTCCTGTTTTTTTTTTTAATAGTTTGCTTAGCTTTTGGAAGGCATATTTCGCCATTCCAATGCGGTTTTCAGGTTTCATTTTTGCATTTCCAATGTTCTCTTAAAAGACTTCCTAAATATTTGATTATTTTTACACTTTTTGATTTGGTGTCTCTAATTTATAAGTTACCATCTTGGACAGTTCCTTTTGCTGACGACCATTGTCTTCTTGATGTTCTTACCTTACTACTTTCTGTAGGATTTCCTGTAGTTTGCTACCAGTATCTTCTATCAACATTGTGTCATCTGCATATCTTTTGATGTTACGCTTGTGGCCACCAATAATGAATCCTGGTAGCACTTCTAATTCTTTCGGGATCACATCACTGTAATGGTTGAATAAGCCACATCCTTTCGGGTTTTGTATATTTAATGAATTCATTTGCAGGCGGTTTCCTCCTGGTGGAAGTTCTGGATTATTCTAATATATTTCGCAAATAAATCAAGCTTAGCTTGCAATGCCAATATTTTAGTTATGTACTTTATCAAACTCTTTTGCATAATTCATAAAACACAGGTATCCATCAATTTGCATTTGCTTGATTTGGTGTCTCTAATTTGTAAGTTACCATCTTGGACAGTTCCTTTTGCTGACAACCATTGTCTTCTTTCAATTATCATTGAAAGACGAAAGAAAATCACCATATTGATACATGTTATTTAATCCTGTTTAAGATTTCGTCTGTGAATGATAATGTTATTAAGCTTATCAAACGATATGGAAGGAATCTGCTTAAAATAAATAGACAAAACTTGTCTATATTATTTAGTGAAACATGCATTAATGAAAAAATGCTTCCTAAATACTCACAATATCTATATCTATCTATCTATCTATCTATCTATATATATATATATATATATATATATATATATATATATATATATATATATATATGTGATACTAATAGTGATCATTCTGGGTACAAATATTGCATTCTTTGTTGATTGTCCGATAGAGCTCATTCATTTACACCTGGCCTTTTAGGGAGCGCTATCTTAATAGAGGTACATACGTCTTCCAGTATATCACCATTTAAATATATATATATATATATATATATATATATATATATATATATATATATTTAATGCATTTTCATTAAATAATATAGACAAGTTTTGTCTATGTATTTTAAGCAAATTCCTTCCATATCGTCTGATAACCTTAATAACATTATCATTGAAAGACGAAAGAAAATCACCATATTGATACATGTTTTTTTAATCCTATCTAAGCTTTCGTCTGTGAATGATAATGTTATTAAGCTTATCAGACGATATGGTTAAAATAAATAGACAAAACTTTATATTATTTAATGAAACATGCATTAATGAAAAATGCTTCCTAAATACTCACAATATCTATATCTATCTATCTATCTATCTATCTATCTATATATATATATATATATATATATATATATATATATATATATATATGATACTAATAGTAATACTCGGTTGGAAAAAAACTGGGATAGCACAATTTGTAAGTATATCAAAACAAATTGGTACCCGAGGAAAAAATTTGTTAAAAAACGGAAAAAACTAGAAACATCCGAACAGGATGAAACAAATCATGCAGTGATTTAAGTTTTTAGTCCAAAGAAAAAAACCAAACGAGGAATAAAGCTAAAACATAGAGTGCTCAATACGTTAAGCAGAGCTGTGATAAATAAAATAAATTATAAAGAGCCAGGAACAACCTACTTAGGTTTCACCTAAACGGATCTTCATGGTAATTTGACTAAACGAGGTTGTGCCGAAAAGTTATTGACCCAAAAGTATTGGTCCTGACCTGGTGCCTTGCCTTCAGTCACTTTCACACCGCCATAATGTAGCTTCTCTGTGCTTTTTCTATAAACTATTGGGGTGGTGCATAATTATCAGGCGTTTTTGTAGGCGATTTATTTGCTGTTTTGTTTAGTTTTGTAATAAAAAATATTATTTTATTTTCAGGTTATAAAAAATGCGTGTCAATAATCATACACTCCGGAATATTCATTTAAAAATGTTATTGTTGAATTATTATGTTTCTTTTTTCATAATAAATATTGTTAAAAACGCCTGATAATTATGCATCAACCCAATAGTTTTTAACTTGTGAAAATTTCACTGTTTTCCTATTTGAAATTTCTTATGAATTTTAATTCTTCAGTTAACGATTGAATAAGCTCATGGCGAGTTCTAAGGCAATAAAATATCCGTAGAAATTCGCATCCTTAAATATGTGAGTTTCACAACTTTAACAAAATATTGCAGTATAAAAAATATATTTAATATGAATGCTGTTCCTTATTTTAAGGAGTAAGGAAGGTTGAAATAAAAATATTGGAAATTGACAACTTTTTCCATTTCACTGAAAGAGCTGTTAAACACTTTTGGCTGCCTAGCTTTCTTTAATTTTATCACTGAAACGAAGTAGCGTCTTTGATATGTCTTTTGTCTTCTGACGCGATCAAAAAGGAATAGTTCATTATTTATTAGGTATTATCAGGAGTCGTTAAACACATTTATCTTTCGTTTATTCTTTTTCTTTTTTTCATTGAATCCAAGCAGCGTCTCTGATATGTCTTTCGTCATTCCACGCGATCAAAACGGAATACTTCATTATTTATGAGGAATTGGCAAGGCGTAACGGTCGTGCGAACTAACGAAGAGAGGAACAGGCACAATTATTATATGATACTTTCATGGTAATTGCTAGAATAAAATGTACCTAGACGTCATGAAATTTAGCGCGGTACTAGATTGCCAACAAAGTGTCGGCAATTTTCAGTTAAATTGGCTAGATGTAACCGTAAGTTCTATGCTAACGGTTTCTTCTCTTGGATTTCTCGCTTGCGGAAATCTCTCCCGGATTCGTTCTTTCCAGCCAACATTGATCTTCAAAAATTCAAATGCAATGTCAAATGTTATATACTGTATTTTGAATTACTCTTTATTATTCTTGCACCTTAATAATGTTTCTCTTTTTTTCTTATTATTTCACATTATTGTATTTTAGGAAACAGACAATAAATGGATGACAATGTGAGGTTCCCCACGTCTCTGTCCTTGAA